AAAAAAAAAAAAAAAGATACTTTTCCAAAATGTTTCAGCAGAATCAGGAAGAAAACCAATGTCTGATTTATTTAGCCTGCACCAAGATAGTTTTATCCCTAAGAGAAAGGAAGTACTGCTTCCTGTCTGACTCCTGGAGTCTGAGAAAGTGACTAGAGGTTATACAGTATGTACTGGAAGTCAAGTTCCTTGAGGGTCTCTGACCACAAGGGCACGGAACTGGAGAACAGCACGCTGAGACAGCCACCTGCGTTGATATCAGCTCAAGGCGGGGTGAAAGCTGCTGCCACCCCCTCAGGGATGTTTCAATACCATCGACAGCCTTCAGCTTCACGAGTAAAATTATGCAAAAGTACATGTCCAAAATGGTCAGCGCCTGTCAGCCAATTGCCAAATGTGGGCAGCATCTAGATCCTGATTCGAACGAACCAACTATAAAATAGCATTTATGAGAGAACATACACCAGGGATGTTAAAGAATTGACTTTCGGGGTGCCTGGGTGGCTCAGTCGGTTAAGCGGCTGACTTCGGCTCAGGTCATGATCTCACGGTCTGTGAGTTCGAGCCCCGCGTCGGGCTCTGTGCTGACAGCTCGGAGCCTGGAGCCTGTTTCAGATTCTGTGTCTCCCTCTCTCTCTGACCCTCCCCCGTTCATGCTCTGTCTCTCTCTGTCTCCAAAATAAATAAACGTTAAAAAAAATTTTTTTTTTAAAAAAGAATTGACTTTCATTATTATTTTCTGGCGACAATACTAGTATAATATGTATATTTAATTTTTAATTTACTTAAATTCAAGTTACTTAACACATAGCATAGTATCGGTTTCAGGAGAACCCAGTGATTCACCTCTCACATACGACACCCAGTGCTCATCCCAGCAAGCGCCCTCCTTGATGCCCATCACCCGTCTAGCCCATCCCCCCCACCCACCTCCCCTCCAGCAACCCTCCGTTTTCTGTACTTAAGAGTCTCTTACAGTTTGCCTCCATTTTTATTTTTCCTTCCCATCCCCTACGTTCATCTGTTGTGTTTCTTTCATTCCACATATGAGTGAGTTCATGTGGTTCTTATCCTTCTCTACCTTAGTTCAATCAGCACAATACACTCTAGTTCCACCCCGCGTCGTTGTGAATTAATCCAGTGGTGGGTGATACCAGGACGGGGTATAGATGAAGTGAGAGCATAGGTCCGAAGGCGGTTCCTTATACAGTCTGTGTGATTTAAGTTAGAAATTTTCCCAAAGTAAAAATGCAAACAAATGGTTTTGGAAAAGAGTTTAGGCTTTACGGGCCACAATTTCTCTGCCATCATCCACCTCTGTCCTTGCAGGGCAAAGACAGCACTAGACAATGCACAAGAGCAGGGCGCGGCTGTGTTCCCACGAAACTACTGAAGGACATGGACATTTAAATTTCGTGGAATATTTATCAAAAACATTTCACGAAGTATTTATCTTCTGATTGTTAAAAACCTTTCGGGCCACAGAAAAGAGGCAACAGGTGGGATTTAGTGTGGGGTCTGCGGTTTGGCCGCCTGTGGTAGAAAACCCAAACCTGAAAAAAATTATGTATTTATACGTATTAGAGGTAGACACATCAAGTTTTCTTCCCGATTCTGCCAGACCGTTCGGGAAACGGTTGTGGATGCACAGAACATTGTCAGTCTCTCACTCGCAGAAGTTATTAGGGAACCGTTGTATTTTCTGGGGTTTTTGTTTAATGGCAACCGCCTGAAGTTTCCCCCAGTAAGCCTGCAATAACGAACACTGTAAACTGTTTCTTCTCTTTAAACAAATGTCCCCTGGGCATAATTTTTACTGCCTGTCTTGTTTCGCTGAGTCCCTCGGTCGTCCTGTCCGGTCCCTAGGGAGCCGCCTCTGTGCTCCGAGTACACACCCTGCCCAACCTCGCGGGCCGCGCACGCTCACCCGGGCACCGAGCAGGTCCGGACCCGCGGGCGGCGCACCTTACTGAAGCAGCCGAGAAGGTCCCAACCCGGGGGCCGCGCGCCTCACCCAGGCACCGAGCAGGCCCCAACCCGCGGGCCGGTCTCCCCCACCCCGGGCGTCGAGCAGGTCCGCGCCCCTTACCCAGGCAGCCGAGCAGGTCGCAGGCGGCGGCGGCGCGCAGGATGCGGACGGAGGCCGGGGCGCGCGCCGAGGCCGGCGGGGACGTGGACGTGGCCCCCGGGCCCGCGGGCCGTCGCCCCGGCAGCAGTTGCAGGAGGCCCAGCGCCAGGCGGCACGCGCCGCCGCCCAGACACAGCGCGTGGAAGGCCCGGGGCTGGAAGCCCAGCACCAGCTGCGTGGCGGCGTCCCGCGTGGGGCAGCAGAAGGTCCCCAGGCGTGGGGAGGCCATGGGCCGTGCTCGGGGACGCGGCTCGGGTGTGCCGGGACCCCGCCGGGCCGCTGGGTCAGGTGCCCGGCCGGCAGCGAGAGGGGGGGATCATGTGCCCGGGGCCGCGCCTCCCCCCGCCCCCGCCCCGGCGCCCGCGCGGGCGGAGAAGGCGCCGACCGGGGTGGGGGCTGCGCGCCCTCGGCGGACGCCACGAGGTCTCACGAGGGTGAGGCTGGGGCCCGAGCCGGAGGTGGGGGAAGGAGGCGCGCCCGGGGCCCGGGAGGGAGGTCGGCTTTCTTCCCTGCAACCCAGCCTTCCCCCAAGCCGCCTCCTCGTCTTAACTGAACCTTACCAGACAAACCTGCCTCATTTGCCAGCTCTTTCCTATTTGGGACCTGACGTCCCTAATTTTGATGCGTTACAGGCGCCAGAACACGTTCATCATCAACGTGACTGATGCGATTGGTGTTAACAGACACAATCCCAGCGGCAGGAGTTTCCTTGCAAGTCAAATCTTAAAGACGGAAGCGCTTAGCCTAACGAGACATGTTTACACACGCCTATTTTGCACCTTACAGTTCAGTGTTCCGTGTTTACTCAGCTTCAATATAGGTTTGGGCATTCTAAATTAGCTTTCAAAAGTAATTGTTTGGTTTTTTTTAATTACCCAAGTTCATTTAGATTTCATAACTTTTTTTTCGTTATACATTGAAAATCAAGCTTTATTCTATGTGCTTAAAAGTTCCAAAATTGTGTCAGCACTAATGATAACCATCAACATACTGGGTAAAGTTTAAAAACAAACTCGAGAAGGCTGACAATAAAAGAGCTCTCCTATAGGTTATGGCTTTTACTAACCAAACCTTTAAAACAAACCAAAAAACCCTTACCAGATGTATCATCTAATAAATTAATAGGCCCATTGGCAAACCCCAAGTGGCCACCCTTTATCTCTCCTCTCGACAAATGGGCCCCTCTCTAAGGTTTTTTTCCGGTCACCCGAAGGGAATGCAGCCCATTCGTCCCTCCCCCACTTATTAAACACTTAAATGCAAACACATGCCCTCCCACCCAGCTGCTCATCTGCCTTTCCACCAGGAGCTTTGCTATTTTAAAGACAAAGTTTGGGCTCAGCTCCTAGGTCTTCTTCCCCGAAGGCCCTAGGACTGGACTTCTCTGTTGGAATCCACGGTAGGCAGACAGGCGGCTGCGTTGCCAGATGGGAAACAGAGCCTTTAACAAAGGGCTGCAAACGCCAGCACTTCAAAAGGATCTGACCTGGCAGTCTATTAGCAGGGGCAGCTGCTTTGATAGAATTCTGGAACCACCAACGCTGTCAAAACCTGCACTGCTCTCGGGTATTGCACACTCGCTTGTAAAAACAGCAGAAAACATCAGAGAAATACTCCCCAAACATCCATTTGTCAGCCCTTTAGAAAGCATGAATCCTGCTCTCTTGGGCCATTGATCTCCTCCTTCGTTTCCTCTTGGAAAGCAGAGGCTGCTTCTGGAGGACAGTGTGCGGGAGTGTGCTTTAAAAGATACAAATGACAACAGAGCCTTTGTATTTGTATGCTTGCTCTGATGCTGAGGGTTTGAGGGTTTGCATGGCCCGTCCATGCAAAAGTACCAGTGCATTTCCGTTTTTGCCTTGGGCCGGAACTGCACATACCCCACCTCTCTGCTTCCCACGTGCAAACCTGCAGGCTCTGATGATTCAGGCACCAAGTAGTCACGGGTGAGGCTCCCAGGAGGGTCAGTGGTAAAGTTACCTCGGGGAGAAAATTGTTATAAATGAAGATTCCTAGGCCAGATGGGGGCCTCAGAGCAAACTTGCAGAAGGACGGACAGGAGACTGTTTTTTTGACGGTCCGAAATAACTTGAAATTAGTATAAGAGATGCAACTGACGTAACTGTGTGCAAGATGTGGGAATGATGGGGCTTTTAGGGGAGATGGTGGGGTTCGTGGGGTCCAGAGCCGACGGCCAGGAAAGAATTCTTGAAAACGTCTTTGGTGCAAAATGGTGATCTTGTTAAAGCACGGGGACAGGACCCGTGGGCAGGAAGAGCTGCCCCGGGGCCTTGAGAGACTAGTTATATACTATGGGGCTGCCGGAGGTGAAGTCCAGGGGAAGTTTCCAGTGAGATTTTTATATGCTAAAGGAGACTCACAGGATTTTGGAGGCCTAGCTATTGTCAAGCTAGGGTTGTTTTTCCCTCTAGCAAAGCATTAGCATTAAGACAGTAAGGAGTTCCCGGAGAAACGTTTTACTCTGCTGGCCTCAAGTATTTGTCAATGGGCTACAGGTTCTAAGGAAATTTAGTTCTATCTGCCATTTCCGTCTGCCTTTGTTCCCCACGTTACTACGGAGAGTGATCTCTATCAGTTCACCATTTGCTTTTCCCCTTTCCTTTGTTCTTGGGCAGCTGGGAGTGCACACATATCCCCCCTGGTGGTGGGGGGGGGGGGCTGTCAGCTTGCCTTATGCTTCCAGAAACATCTGGAAGTACTGCAGATGTGCGACCTGCAAAGATGATCCCGCCAAGCCACAGTCAGCTGAGCCTGAACACCGATGTATCTGTGCGGTAACAATCAGGGCCTTTACGTATGTGAAGTTCATTTTTGCATCCACGCTCCCTCCTTTTCTCCCTCCCTCCCAGCTTACCATCTGGATTCCACCTTGCACTTTCCGCCTGGGCTGCCCACGGAAGGTTGTCTTGGCTTTACCTTTGCTCTGCCATTCACGACTTGCCCGCCATCCCGCTTGATCTGCTACGCTAACCTCTGGAAGCGGCTCAGGGGGTTTCTCTCACAGACAACTCTTCTCACGGTGAGTCCCCTGACACCCACAGGTCTTAATGGAAAGGACGGAGTTCACGGGGAGAACCTCAGGTAGGCCACAGAATCCAGTGGAGGAGATAGTGGGGGGCGGATGGATGGTCTGCCGAAATACACTGGTAGCAGCAGCAGAAGTGAGGACAGAGCGACTCACAAAAACCTACTGTTTTCAGAGTGCATCAGTAGGCAGGCACAATGCTCTGTGTTTTACATCCATTGTCTCACTGAATCTACAGCAGGAGCCTTTCGGGTGGGTTTTACTCTTCAACTGATGAGGACAGTATGTACATTAGTGGGCATGGCTAAGTTCCAGTAAAACCTTATTTACAAAACTGGTGGCAACCTAGCCATTTTGGCTCCTATAGGTCTACCCACAGAGACTCTGGCTTAACCAGCAGTACCCCAGAAGGCTGGGGGGGCTAAGCCCAAAATAAGAGGGAGGCTAACAGCTAGTGGGGCAGGCAAACAGGCCAGTGAGGAATGGGACACAAGAAGCTGCTGGCAGAGAAATTGCTCCTCCTTCCTCCCGCCCTAGAAAGTTTCTGAGGAGAGGTCGTATAGGGTCCTGAGCAACCAGCTGTGTTTCTTAGGAATCTGTAGCCTATTCATAATTGTGCCACCTTTAATTTGCCCTTCCTCCTTCCCTACTTTTACTTCCCTTGTGCCCAGGGATTCCATGGTGTTTGCCCACAAAACTTCGGCACACCATTTGCCTCAGGCTCTGCTCTCTAAGGAACCCAGGCTAAGAATCTGCCTTCCTCATAAAGGATTTCAGGTGCTGTAGCCCCTGCCCTGCTTGGGGCCCATCTGATGACCAGCAGCACCTCTGCCTTTCAATTCCTTTCATTTCAACAGAAATGTATTGAGTGCCATGTGCAAACTGAGCAGATAAAGAGACAGGCTGTGTCCAATAAATATGGGTGTGTTTACTAGGCCTTAATAAAGAATACGTAACGGTCAAAGGCACTGTCAGAGCCAAATAAACCAATTAGTCATAGACACACGGGAGAAGAGGGTGGGAAGAGATAGGGACTGAGTAGAGTTTAAAATGAAATTGTACTTGTGGTGCCTGGGTGGTTCAGTCGGTTGGGTGTCTGACTTCGTCTCAGGTCATGATCCCCAGGTTTGTGAGTCCGAGCCCCGCGTCAGGTTCTGGGCTGACAGCTCAGAGCCTGGACCCTGCTTTGGATTCTTTGTTTCCCTCTCTCTCTGTGACCTCCCCTGGTCACGTTCTGTCTCTCTCTCTCTAAAAAATAAACATTAAAAAATTTTTTTAGGGGCGCCTGGGTGGCGCAGTCGGTTAAGCATCCGACTTCAGCCAGGTCACGATCTCGCGGTCCGTGAGTTCGAGCCCCGCGTCGGGCTCTGGGCTGATGGCTCAGAGCCTGGAGCCTGTTTCCGATTCTGTGTCTCCCTCTCTCTCTGCCCCTCCCCCGTTCATGCTCTCTCTCTGTCCCAAAAATAAATAAAAACATTGAAAAAAAAATTTAAAAAAAAAGAAAAAAAATTTTTTTTAAATTAAATTGTACTTAAGTAGAAAGACATTTAAATATCAGACCTGAGAATAAAATTAATCAAGTTTCATGTGCATTGCGTTGCAGATGCTACTGAAAAGCAGATTCTAATTCTGCTTATCGGGATGTCTGGGTGAGGCCATGCATTTCTAGCAAGCTTCCAGAGATGTGGATGCTGCTGGTCAATGGCTCCTACTTGGAGCAGCAAGGTCCTGGAGCTTGTATCTCCACCTGAAAAGGAAAGGAACAACCAGGCCATACTTCAGTGTGGGGAGGGCTTAGTTCAAAAGAGCAGAGAAACTGATCAACATCCAGCTAAGCCAAAGAGCATTCTGAATGCCAATGACGAAGCAGGGATGGAGGCATGCGGTTAGCAGTGATGAGCAACATCCTTCCTGATGGTTCTGAAAGCTCCAGGGGGAGAAAACTGTTTGGGGCTAACCGGGGATGGAAGTCAGGAAACCGGGAGGAGAGGGGAGCAAATGGGAGAGGAAGAAGACTGACGAGGACTGGGGGAGACAGACAAAAGTGACTTGTGTTGAGGAAGGGAGAATGACCTGACGGTGTTCTCAGGTAGAAACTGGAAAACTGTTCACCCTCGTCTAGAAAAAAGAAGAGGCCTGGGCTATGACAAAGTCCTAACAGAAGCTCTTTTGGTGTAGGTGAGTGGCTCAGTGCCCTGGGAGGGACCTATGTAATCCCAAACGACCCCGCCTCCTTATACATCATTTAAAATGCTTTCTCCCT